TGACGCATTAATATTCTTCTGCATGCTGAGAGAAGAGGGCGACAGAGAACATGGAATGCTAATAGAAAGAACGAAGCAACCAATGCCGGCAGAATAAAATCTAAGTCAACTGGGCCGCAGCGCACAACACGTGACAGGTGGAAACAAATATTAATTCTTGTACAGTTCACTGTACACCACAAGTGTAATAAGAAGATGAAGCGATGAAACAAACACAAAAAGAGTTTATCAAGAGGAATATGCATCGAGATGCCCACTTGTAGTGCATGTGTTCGTTGACTTTAAGAGCAACAGTTGCGGCCTGTGTTTTGAATCCTCTTTCATCTAGGAAGCAGAATGTGCGCCAGAGGAGTGCGAGTATATCGATGCTTTTCCCCAGTCTTTCTTTGTATTCATCTGAGTGTACATCTGTTGACTGAAGTGATTTCATAAGATCATCATCTAAACGTTCAACAAACGAAGTGAGAATAGAAGCAGATATTTGTTGTATCTCCTCAGGCGAAGAGGCCTCTGCGAGCCCCGCAAGCGGAACCAAGTAAGCCCCCTTGTTCTCCTCCATGATAGAGAGCAGCAGCTTGACGCCAGCAAAGGTTTCCATCCATATATGCAGCGGCATGCTAGTGAAGACGCCAGAGGTGGTATCGAACTCTGCACTTATTAGGTGTCCTAACACCTCAAGATGACACTGTGGGCTAACAGTCTCAGCTAGCTCAGCTAGCCGTTTCAGAATACGCATTTGTTCGAGTTTATCTACACCTCTACGACCTCTCTTCTCTACCACCATCTGCACACGCTTCGCTATCACCTCCTCATTTATATCTGTGCTATCAAACAGATGCTCCATATCTTTTGTTGAGAAACCTGCCTCTGCTGCTCCCGGTGAGGTCTCCTTAGGTGCTGGCTTCGACCCCTTCGTTCCGCTCTTCTTCTTAGATGTTTTCCCTCGCTTCCTCTCCCCCTCCTCCCGTACACCCCACTTAGCCATCGCGTCCTTCTGCCGGTCACCCTCCTCGCCTACGCAAACAAACAGAAATGCAACAACTAGGAAGATGCTGCGCCGCTGTAGCTCCAACTAACTTGACTACCTCCAAAAACAACATATATGATGCGCATATAAATATATATTATATGTATTATATGTATATATATAGTAAATATATATAATGTGGTGCGGTATACATTAGCATATGAAATACACCCCAGTAGCATGCTTATACAATACAAGGAACCTAATATAAAATACAAGTTGCCCTCATCCTCAAATAAACTACG